GGAAATTTGAGAGAGTTTGTGGGGGAGTGAGAGAGCGAAGTGAGAGATCGAACACAGGGGAAATGGGTGGGCTTAGGCCGCAAATCCTCGCGTCCCAGAGGAAGCAGGAGGTGGCCAAGGGTGGAAGAGGCGGCTGCATGGCAAAGCAGGAGGTGGCAGCGCGTAAGAATTCGATTCCGCGACCTCAGACCGGACAGTCTGCGCCTCCCAGACCGGACGGTCTGCTTTCCAGACCGGACGGTCTGACCAATTTTCCGCCCGTTTTTCTCGCTCGTTTCGGGTTAGGGTCTAATTCAATATTTTAGGGACATTTTTATGGCTCATATTTGATTTCCTAAAATTCGGTTTGAACGTCGAATTTACGGGTTATTACAAACGTTATGATCAATAAGATCAGGATTTAACCATACTATATTTTGGGTCACTAGGTCACCGACAGAAAGATATGATGTGGATCCGAGGACCTTTGCTCTAACTAGGCAGGTGGAGACCGCGACCTCTAACCAACGTGTAGGAATCAACCTTGGCACAAGTCTAAAAGACCACCGCGACCTAGACCTAACGCCGTGATTAGCAATCTTGATATAAGAAAGGCGCCACAAACGGTTATGATTGTCTGTTTGATAAGCCGAGTTGAACGCCACGGATAGAAATCCGATAAGTTCGAAAACAGTTCGCAAAGAACTAAAAGAGAATACTTCTCACAAGTTTTGATTGATGAATGATTATTACAATATGATTTTTGTATCCTATTTATAAGATGAAACAATATGAAAATTAGCAACATAACATAAATAAAACACAAAATAAAATGCTTGATAGGTGTGGTCTTCAAGAGAGTCTTCATAAATAATGTGGTCTTCAAGAAGGAGCTTTAAATGCCTTTGAAAAATGTGTTCCCGTAATTGACTTTGACCTCTTTATTTTGACCTTCATAATTCCCTCTCAAGGGCCATAATTAGACTTGTAATGGCCCTAACTTGATAATGGGTTGGTCCAACTTCAAATTCTTCATGTTTTGGGCCAAAAACTTCACATATCATCTCAACATATAGGGCATGAAGTTTCTGAGTTGTTGTAAAGTGTCTGAACTGTCTTGTCATTTTTCATATTGTCCGTGTTGTTGATGATCACATCACTCCCATTCTCTTGAAAATGATTTGCCCTCAAATCTGAAACCTCCGTTCTTCTGTTGTGGGCCTGTCTTCCATATTGTCTCCTACGCTTTGCTATTCCAGGATCAAATATGGTATTTTGGTACAAGACAGAATTTAGAGATGCGATACCAAACTCCATAATAGTTGAGGAATCCTCTGTATGCCTATATTTGATGGGCAAAAGATCATCCTTTACATCTCCATTCTCGACACTTGTTATCAGTTTTTGAATTTTCTCTTCCGGTTTACTGTCTACATAGCTTTCTCCGATAATAAAATCGATTGACTCGTCAACCTTACGTCGAGATGCATCTTTCTGAGTTGCAATGACATCATCAATCCTGACCAGTTTGTCATCAGATACATCTGACTTTGTATTGGCTTCAAAAATCACTTCTCGAACATCCATGCAGGGTTTAAGATGTGTAAATGATGGGCCTTCCAATTTGTCCTTCGTCACAACAATACAAACACCTGAAGTTTTTTGTTCATCAAGCATATGTTCAGTTGCACTTGACTCCAATTGAATTGCAACTTTGGTCTTGATCTCACCACCATCAAGAAGACCCTTTGCTTGCCAATTTGTACATTCACCACCAGAGTGTCCTCTGCCCAAACACATATAACATAGAATATCTCGAGTTTTTGATCGAGAAATTCCAGATCTACCTTTGTGTCTTGGCTTGAAAACTATGGATTTGGACATAACTTCTGGATTGGAATAAAACCATTCTTGCTTTAAAAGTTTGGATGTGTGCTCGACGAATTTGAACCAAATCTCTGAGGCGAATTTCCTCTCCTTGGAATATTTTGTTGTTGTCGGCATTGCGCAACATATGCCTTCTTTTCCATTCGATCCAACCTTTGATGCATGATTTTGAATTCAGCTCACACAATTTTTTGTAGTTTGCCCATCAATGTTTGCATTTGAAGTGGGTTTGCTTCTCCATGTTGTTGATTGTGACCATTACGATTTTGTTCATCTGCCATGTTTCTGCAAAAGAAGGTAAGGAGAAAAAAGAAAGAAAAATAATCTCACCACACTCAAGTGTTTCACTCAAATTTCGGCTTTTACCCTCTGATGATCTCACACACTCTTGCCTTTTACCCCTCTTTAGTACTCTCAATATGGTTCTTATTGAACTATTATCAAACAAGATCGAAAATCTTCTCCGCAACAATTCAAAAGAGAAACCAAGGAATAAAACGTAAGAAGATGTAACACGATCGTAAACCAATTCAAAATCGTAGTAAGGAGGTGTAAAATGACTTTTTTTTTTAGAAATGAAGATGAATGGAGAACATTATTTTTCTTTCCTTTTGAAAGAAAACATGTTTCCCTTTTTTTTAAATAAGTTTTTTTTTTTTTTTCCTTTTTACCTTTTTTTTTTCTCCTGATTTTTTTTCTTCTTGAATTTTTTTTCAAAACACAGAAACTAAATAGGAAGAAATAGTTAGAAAGAAAAAGATGATAAAACAAAAGAAGGGTAGCGAAAATTAAAAGATAAAGAATAGATAAAACCTAGATTAGAGTTATACTCTGGTGCTCCATTTTCTGTAATATCTCCTGTAGCTGAGCTAGCGTTAACGAACCAAACTCTGAAACATCATTACCATCAGAATAATTTGTCACTACATTAGCAACAACACCTATGTTCTGAAAATTCTGATTTCCATTGAATTTTGTCGGATTGGATCGCACTGGTGCAGATGAAGTCTGTGAGGTTACAACAGGAGTTTTGTAGCCCGGAGGGTAACCATGGAGTTTGTAGCACTTATTCACAGTGTGTCCATACAGTCCGCAATGAGTGCACAAAGGTCTCTGTCGATTCTTGTAATATCCACCATTTACTGCAGCAACTGTCTGAGATTGATCTGGATGATTTGTTGAAGTCTGAAAAACGATTGTTCCACTCGAAACAGGGAACGGAAGTTATCAAAATTTCTGCTCTGATACCATGTAAGGCTATGAGCTCTTATGTATTGCGGCTTGTATTGATCAGAATATTACAGAGGGAATATATATAGAGACGTATGAGCCAGTTTGCCCTAAGGTACAAGGTAAGTTCTGTATATGGTATATAAAAATATATACATAATATATTGTTCCCTTATAAGATTCGTTTTGATTTGCTTCTGTTGTTCGTGCTTGATCACAATACCAAACGCTTTTGCAAGATCGGGGAGAGAATCCATCAAGATGATGTGATCCCTTACTGGTTCAAATACATCATTTAAACCAAACAGAAACTGAAAAACAAAATCCTCTTCAAAAATCACTTTCCACTTCTGGTCAACTCCACAGTTGCACGTACCACAAGTGCAATAATGGGATGTTTGCACAAATTTCAATTCCTCCCAGATTGTGGACAATTTGGTATAGTAAGTAGAAACGTCATCAGAACCTTGATGAAGGTGATGGGGTTTCTGCCTAATCTTATAACGTCGTGATATAGTATTCTGCTGGTACATACTCATCAATTTTGCCCACATTTCCGAAGCAATCTTGAAATAGTACAGAAGATTTTCAGAGATTTTTTCTGAGACAGAATTCAGGATCCATGAACATACCATGAGATTGTTCTGATTCCAGTGTTTAGAATCTGGATCCGTGTCTGGTGGTTTAGGAAGAGTTCCCTCCACAAAGCATAATTTGTTCCTTCCATCCAGAGCCATAGTGATGTATCTGTGCTAAGAGTTGAAGTTGATACAGCCGACTAGGTGATTGGAGACGAGAATCATATTCATATGATCATTTGTACCGAGAAAGTAAGGACGGTAAGGATCAGTGATTGGTGTCGCCATTTTCCAGGAAAAAACAACAAATTTTCTCGAAAAAATGAAGAAATTGAGAAGAATCAATGAGAAAACAAAGCACTGAAACAGAATTCAAAGCAAAAGATACTCTGATACCATTTCAGGAAAAGAAGAACTCTGTTTTTAGTGAGAGAAGGCTGAGAGAAAAAAATTCTCAGAATGAGCAAAATGAACTCGATAACTTTATTCCTCAGGCATTCCATGTTTATATACAAACTTTACAATTAACAGAAAAATGAACCTTACTCCAAAACTTGGGTACATTCATCTAACCGTCTGCAACTAACGTTGCTGAGCTGGCATGAATGTTAATACATAGGTCTTGAAAAATAACAATCAAGAATATTTACTTTGAAATTTATGAAAATCAATAGATAATTATATGGAATCCGACCGTAAATGTAATTTCAAACATTATAACTCTTCTCACATTGAAATCATTTGATTAAGTTATGTTAGGAGTATTGGAGATTAATGCGATCTATATTTTTTAAACCCTAGATTTAACATCATTTAGACCAAAAATTGAAATACCCACCACAACAATATAAGAAAAAACATATTTTGTGTGTATATGTTTGTACGGACGTGTCATCCAGTTTCAATGGTGTTGATGTCATGACCAAAGGAATCATAAATGGGAGCATTATAAAAAATAGGGAAAAAACCCTAAAAATTCCCAAACTTGTATTTTGGTGTAATATAAATTCCTGAACTTTCAGAGGTGCCTATTAATTCCCGAATTTGCAAAATTGAACATATTAATTACTGAAGTTGTTAAATGGTTCCATAATCGTTCTTAACGTTAATTGGTAAAAAATCGCGCTGACCAATCCGACGTGGCCACTTACGTGTCTAGCCAACTCATCGAATTTGTGCCACGTATACAATTTTTGGGTTTTCATTAAACCGAATTCACGGAATACCGGGTTAAAGATACAAACCGGTCTACAGTAACATTTTGGGTTAAATAAAATCCAATACTGATCGAAACCCATATTTACCACCCGAAGAAACCCTAGGTTGTCCCCCAAATTGATAACAAATCGGAACCCTGATTCCAGTGATACCCGTCATCGGCGGTTTCGTCGGAAATCTCTTCGGCGATGGATGTATCTTCGAAGCCCAGGTTTCGTATTCATGAGAACTCTCTTTTTTTGGCTTTCTCCTCGGTCGAAATTGTGTGTCGTGTTGATTTTGTTCTATTTGGGGGATTTGGGTGGATTTTCTGATGTTTATGATTCATCATAACTCCTTTTTTTTACTATTTTCCTTCGATTTGTGTTGTTTTACTCTTCTTCTTGGATTTGTGTTCTGATTCTACACCGAATATTTGTGGATTTGGCAGGTTGGTCGTGAATGTGTTTTTCGGCGGATGCACAGATTATGGCGAAGATGGAAATGTGGGATATATTGGTGGAGTGAAAGCGGTAGTGTTTTGTGAGAACCCCCCTAATCTGTCATGGGACCAGTTTGAGGAAATCATAAAGCTTCGAAATGTGTATCCACCAATGTATCAGCTGTCATACAAGTTAGCAGAGGAAACATATAAGAATAAGAGGGTGATCACTCATAGGGAAAGTCGGTATGAATTTCGGGAATTGAATAAGATTGCAGCAAAAGCGACTGAGATCGATGTGTTTATTGAACATGAGGAAGTTCATGATGATGAAAGTGTAGAAGAAGGTCGTGAGGATCCAATCGATTCTGTGGATGGAAGTAATGGTGATGATGATCCTGGTGATGATGATCCTGGTAATGATGAAGATAGAGATGAGGAACAATTTGATTGTATAGAATCTGTGGAGAATGAAGTAGAGCAGAACATTGAGTCTAGTGAAAGTGATGAAGACAAGTCTGATGCGATTCCCGAATCGCCTCTAAACACGGACGAAGAATGGCAGTCTTTCGAGAAACCTGTGAAGAGTGGTAGGATAAAAGGGGACAAGTTCTACTTTCCCTTTGATGGTAGGCTGGAAAGAGTTCAAAAAGGCGTTGATTGACTATGTGTTTGACTCACAGTTCAACATTAAGATGACGAAGTCATCAACAACGAGATTCTCAGCTAATTGTAGGCATAAAAAGTGTATGTGGAGGGTGTATTGTACGCTTGATACGTCGTTCAACAAGTGGGTGATCAAGACTTATCATCCAACACACAACCACCATCCAAATGGACATGCACCGATGGTGAATATGTATCACATTGCTGAACGTTTCAAAGAGGACATGAGGAGAAACCCACGACTAAGAGCTGTTGATATAAGAGTGGGGTTGTTAGATAGATATGGATTGATAATGTCGAAGAGCAAATGCTCTAAAGCTCGCCGTGTTGCGTCAAAAATGGTTACGGAAGAACAAAAGGTACAATTTGCGAAGTTATGGGATTACGAAGCTGAGCTTCGGAGGTCAAACCCAAACATAACCACTGAAATCGGGTTAAAGACAGAAGAAGGTGAAGAAGTCTTTGATCGGTTTTATACATGTTTCCATGTATTACGTGATTCGTGGAAAAAATGTTGTCGACCTATCATTGGATTGGATGGCTGCTTTCTGAAATGGGAGTTGAAAGGAGAACTTCTAGCAGCCGTTGGAAGGGATGGTAATAACGGTATCTATCCCATTGCTTGGGCAGTTGTGCGCATAGAGAGCATTGAGACTTGGTTGTGGTTTATTCAGAAACTGAAATCTGATTTGGCACTCGGTGAAGGAGAGAAATTAACAATAACTTCAGATAAGCAGAAGGTATTCTCATTTACTGATTTGTTTGTTGGTTAAATTTCAATGACTGAATTACTTTTTGTTTAACAGGGCTTGTTGAATGCTGTGGAACGCGAGTTGCCATTTGCCGAACATCGAATGTGTACTCGTCATGTTTATGCGAACTGGAGGAAAAACTTTAAGGATTCTGCGTATAAACGCATCTTTTGGAACATTGCTGCAAGTTACCACCAAGCTCATTATGACGCATATCTTGAAGAAATGAAACAGATCAATGAACAAGCATATGAAGCTGTTTTACATGCAGAACCGCACCAATGGGCTCGATCCTTCTTCAAGTCTGACTCGCACTGTGAAGACGTGGTCAACAATCTATCTGAGAGTTTCAACATGACTATCAGGGATGCACGTTTGAGGCCGATGATAGATATGCTGGAGATGATTCGTAAACAAATAATGCATCGCAATGCCAAACGGTCAAGATATGCAACTAGATGCAGTACTGAGTTCACTCGTCATTGTATGAAGAAATTAGAACAATCCCGTCAAAAAACAAGGTTTTGTACTAGTATACCAAGTGCACGTGGACAGTATGAAGTGGAAGAGTTCGGCATGAGTTTTTCGGTTGATCTTGCCGGAAAGTGTTGTGCTTGTCGGGAGTGGGATCTGAGGGGGATTCCTTGTCAACATGCATTGTGCATCATAAATGAGAAGCAAGAAGATGTTTCAAAGTAAGTGCAAAAACACAAATTTTCGGTTTCTATTAAGATTTCACAATTAATATATTTTGTGTTTTATGGACAGGTACATATCCGAGTACTATATGATATCAAAATGGGTTCAGATAGACAACCAAGATCCTCATCTAAACAACACATCATGAGGATCTTGTTAAGTTGAACCTTTGTATTTTTGTTGTTAGTGGTTGAAGAGAAGGTATTTTTTGGTATGGTTGAACCGTTAGTGGTGTTTAGTGGTTGAAACTGAATATGTTTTTGGGATGTTAAATCTGAGATTGTTTTTGGGGTGTAGTTCAAAAAGCCGTTGGATATAAGGTTCAACTTACTTAAGGTTTTTTGTTGTAAAAAACATATGTATAACCACTGTCAATGCAACTTCCATCTTTTCTGCATATTTGAATCATTATCCATTGTAGCAACTCTAAATTTCTTCAGATTTTAACATCCACCAAGACTTCATACATGAATAAATATTACAAGATCCACATTAACTCGAACACATCCCCTAAACCAACATCATCCCCAAAACACTACAAAAACACAATTTCGACCGAGGATTTCAAACCAACATCATCAAATCCCAATGACTCCAAAACACTGCAACAAACACAACTAATATAACTACAACTAAGAAGACTAAAACACATTTGCAACCCACACCTTTGTAGTCTTCCAACGCATCCTCTAACTTTTTTGTCTTCTCTTTGTACTCTTCCAACTCAACTTCCATCTTTCCGATGATCAATTTGTATACTTCCATCACATCCTCCGTCTTTCTACTATTCTCTTTGAATGCTTCCATATCCATCACTACTCTTTCTAAACCTTCATGAAGATTGTCCGTTTTTTCTTCCATCACCTCATCAAACCATTTGAAGAAGTGATTAAAATTTCCCTGAAACATTATACCAACAAGATCATATAAACCATAAACCAAATGAAATACACATTCAATTTTTTACCTTTACCTCCTGTTTCTCACAACAGAAGAACACTCTTCCAGGATTATTCTCTGTTTTCGAAGTCAATCTCACAACATCACATCCGCATTCGCATTTCCATGGATAAACCTTGCGTTCATGAGATTGCCCTTTTCTCCAACTTGATCGTGCAATCGATGTTGTAGAACTCTTTCCGCCCTCAACTGAACAAGTCGCTTTCATCCTGTGTAAAATCATAAACACCAGAAAATCCCCCAAGAAGAACAAAAACATCACGACGCACAATTTCAACCGAGGAAAAGAGTAAAAAAAAGGAGTTATGATGAATCATAAACATCAGAAAATCCACCCAAATCCCCCAAATAGAACAAAATCAACACGACACACAATTTCGACCGAGGAGAAAGCCAAAAAAAGAGAGTTCTCATGAATACGAAACCTGGGCTTCGAAGATACATCCATCGCCGAAGAGATTTCCGACGAAACCGCCGATGACGGGTATCACTGGAATCAGGGGGTTCCGATTTGTTATCAATTTGGGGGACAACCTAGGGTTTCTTCGGGTGGTAAATATGGGTTTCGATCAGTATTGGATTTTATTTAACCCAAAATGTTACTGTAGACCGGTTTGTATCTTTAACCCGGTATTCCGTGAATTCGGTTTAATGAAAACCCAAAAATTGTATACGTGGCACAAATTCGATGAGTTGGCTAGACACGTAAGTGGCCACGTCGGATTGGTCAGCGCGATTTTTTACCAATTAACGTTAAGAACGATTATGGAACCATTTAACAACTTCAGTAATTAATATGTTCAATTTTGCAAATTCGGGAATTAATAGGCACCTCTGAAAGTTCAGGAATTTATATTACACCAAAATACAAGTTTGGGAATTTTTAGGGTTTTTTCCCTAAAAAATACCTTTATTTTGTTATTTTAACTTCAATACATACCCTTCTCCATTTGTGGCACTGTGAGCCATGTGACCCGAAATATAGTGTGATTACATGTTCATCTCATTGCTCATAACGTTAAATTTATGATGTTTTAATCAAATGATTAGTAAGATATACGATGGGATGAACATAATGAATTAGTGTGATCACCATAAATTTAACGTTATGATCAATAAGATCAAGATTTGGCCACACTATATTTTGGGTCACCAGGTCATAGGGCCACAGACAGAGAAAGACAGAGAAAGATATGTGTAGAAATAAAAATAACAAAGTAAGGATATTTTTTATATAATGCCCCATAAATGATTCAAACCTTATACAAAATAAACTTGTAAACATTAGTGATACGTGGCGTCCACACGTTAATGCTCGCTTTTGCTCGGTAGTATTCATCTCCGTTCACAAATACAATTGCATGTTGCATGTCATTTCATTGGCCCAAGCTGTACCATATCATTTTAATCACATTAAAAATATATGGACCACCGAAGTAAATAATCATATACAATCATCGACGAGGTATATATGCCGGACTTGCATGATCTTGAGAAAGAATAATAAAATCGATGAATTCGGAAACCCAACTATTGTTCTTAACAGTCATTAACATAATATTTTTCCACCAAAATTGCAATTTTCTGTGGCAAATGAAAAATATAAAAAGAAAAGGTTCAAAGGGCAATTTTAAAAAGCTATTGTATATGTAGTTTAGTTTCAATAATATGGTCAGAGTTTAGTTTCCTATAATCAGAAAAGATCATAATCACAATTCACAATATCTAAGACATATAATATCCCTTATTTCTCACTTCATTCAAGAAAGCCTTCATAATCTCCACAGCAAGATTAGGGTTCCTATTCACAAATTCCTTGAAATTTGCTGAAAACAAAATCTCCTTCATATGCTTGATGACGAAATCGGACGCAACGTCACAGAGGGTTTTGTTCGGGAAAACGTCGGAGAGTGTCGAGAGCTTTCACGATCATAGATACCATGGGCGAACCTATTTATATATAAGTGGGGGCACTTGCCCCCATTCACATTAAAAAAAAATATTACTTACAGTTTTAATTAAATTGTATCAATGTCCCACTAAAATTTAAGTAGTGCCCCATCCATTTTTTACCCTAAATTTTTTTTCATTTTTTTCAACCAATTTAACATTTCCGTCATTTTTTGAATTCTTTTCCAACTCCAAATTAATTTTATTTAATCTTTTATCAAATAAAAAAAATTAGAAATTCAATAATAATCAAATCCAAAAAACTAAAACAACCAAAAATATGTAAGTATTTTGAATTTTATTTTAAATAATTTTTTATGTTTTATTCATTTGTTTTTATATTTTCATCATATTAATAAATTTGTTTTTATATAAATCTCATAATTGATTTAATAGAGAAACCAATTAATAAATTTCTAAAAAAAATTACAATGTAAAAATTTAATAATTTATTTAACCAGATAGATTCTAAATTGTTTACTTATATAGTAGTTTTGAATACTGTTAAAACAGTTTTGCACGATCGATTGATGATAAGTTTTTGAGTGATTGTCTTGTTTGTTTCATCAAAAAATATATTTCAAACAGTATAAATAAAGTTGTTATGGATAGATTTTAAAAAATAAAAAATCGTAAAATTTAATTATAAAATGAGAAATTTTTATGATATATTTTTATTATTTTTTGTATTTTATATAATATTTATAATTGTTGTCGTATTGGAGACGATGTGAGTTGGTTTCTGCATGTAGATATACATCTTGTAGATACGGAACTTTTACATATTTAAGATGATTTCAGAAAAACAAAAACGCATAGATTTGAAACCAAATCCATACTGGGCTTTCGCTAATATAGGCCCACGGTCCAAACCATTATATTAAAACGTATCCCACATCGGCCGAATAGAAAGACGCAATCCTGGAGAGAGGAGCATAAGAGGGGAGCTTGAGAGATCGAGCAACATACTTACCTGGACGGGGTCGACGCGCGATCACGAAGGCGCGTGGCCTAGGCTAGTGACCTCCATTGCACTCCGGAGGGGCGCTTAGCCTAAGGTCTCCACAAGTGGGAGAGCCTACGTCGTAATTTGTGGCAGAGGGGGCCTGCGTCCGCGCGGCCCCCACCATTTTAATAATTGAAATTGAAATTGAAAATGTGTGTTTGGTATTTTCGTACTAAAAGATTTTACATTATTTTCCAAGATTTAGGCTGTAATTTGTAGTTGTATCGTACCGAGTTTATAACCAAAATAAAAACCGATTTTAAATTATCTGAATTTTTGAAAAAGAAATAAACCAGTTAATAGTTGATCCAAAATCAATTGTCAGGGATATTTGGTGGGCGTTTAATTAAAAGACGCAGAGAAAGCTGAAATTCAAAAAAAATAATTGTCAGCGAGATTGTGATCCAAAAATAGGCGCAAAAGAATAGTACGACCGTCTAAACAGCACGGTAGTGTCTTAAATGGGCCTTGAATTGGGCCGACGTTTGACGGCCCGATTAAAAAAAACTATAATTACTTTATATACGGATCATATATTATACATTTTTTGAACCTAATTATGATACTATAGAAATATTGGAATCCATGGATTTTCAAATTAGATTTTAATTTGTTCGGAAATCTAATTTTTTATTATCCGAACAAAATGGATTCGGATCGAATATTATTTCATAAGAAATTCAGTTTTAGATGCCGATTGGGTAGTCCGAAAATTTCGAATACCGACTGTATCTCCACCCTTATCGTCTCGCTTCACTTTACTTGTCGACGTCAAGACAGAATATTGGGCCATGAACCCATTGGTAAAAGCCCAGAAAGAGACGAAGCTGGATGAATGTTTCGGTTTAGTTTATTCAAACACGATTAATTTAAATTTGGTTATTTCAGATTTTAAAATTTTATAACAAGCGGTTATTTGATTTTATTGATTCGGTTATGATTTGTTATATCATATTAAAATTGGAACTAAATAATAACCAAATAAAAATTTGGTTCGGTTCATTTCGATCCGGGTATAGGAGTAAATGAAACAAATTTCGATACATTGTTGAACAAAAATGTTAAAGGTCTCACGTTTTAGGTGTATACCATAGTAATAAAACTAAATAAACAATCTAATTATGTTATTTTTTCTTCTTAGATATAAACATATATTATTTATTATTTGGTGATATATGAGTGGACGAACAGTTAGATTCGATTTATTCGATTATAGTTGTTTAGTTTATTCGGTTACGGCTATTTCGAATTTGGTTATTTTACGTTTCAAAAATTCATAAATCAAATGGTTATTTTAATTTTATATTTGCCTTGTTAAATCTACAAACAATGTAATTTTGGTAGATTAACTGTTCCGGCTCAATCGTAATGCGGAGATGTTGAACACAATTTTATTTT